AGAGAGAGAGAGAGAGAGAGAGAGAGAGAGAGAGAGAGAGAGAGAGAGAGAGAGAGAGAGAAGCGTTTGTTTTTGTCTGTGTGTTTATTTCTCCTTAGAATTTTCCCAAATCCGTCCCAAAGTTCGAAGGAGAAGTAAACACAAACAAACAAGAAAAACATATCTCTCTCTCTCTCTCTCTCACTCTCGCTCCCGTGCGCGTGAGCTCTCTCTGTCTCTAGCGTGCGCGCATTCTCTCTCTCTCTCTCTCTCTCTCGCGCGCGCGCGCGCGCGCATGTTTGCGTGTGTGTGTGTGAAATATTAATTCCCAAATTCGTACCCAAAATTCAAAAGATAAATGAACACAAACAGACAAAAAAAAACTCTCTCTCTCACGCGCGCGCTCTCTCGTTCCCTCTCTCTCTCTCTCTCTCTCTCTCTCTCTCTCTCTCTCTCTCTCCCCCTTTCTTTTTTTCCTCTCTCTCTCTCTCTGTGTCTGTGTGTAGGATTTGATACTTGTCCGCCTGCAGGTAGGCGTTATAATACTACTGTCTTCACACCCGAATAGCCCCGTCATTATAGCTGTATTTGGGGCATCTGTCTGTCTAGATACAGTGATAATGACCGGGGGTTTTATTTGGTGAACACGTCAGTACATATGGAGGCCTCCTGGAGCATGATCGCATTACCCCAGAGGACCATCCCACGGGATAGAATTGACTATGGGTCCATGTTGATAACACTCCTATCCAGACGGGTTCTAAGAAAGGGTAATGACACTGCTACCCAAACCTACCCAGACGCGGTCTAAGAAAGGGTAATGACACCTCTACCCATTCCTACCCATAGAGGCCTCCCAGGGTCAGGGTCCTACTATCTCAGCGCATTATCTCACTATCTACTGGAAAATATTCAGTACTAACACTGCTGGACGTGGTCTGAGATGCTAATAATACTTGGGACAGAATTCAGTATTGGTCCACCTGGCCGCTGTCTTTTATTTTGTTTTTTGACAATTGCTCTTATCTGTTCGTGGGGAGCATCCTGTGCTGGGAACCGGGCCCAATGTCCCTTACAGAGGTTATTCATGGTTGAGATGGTTACTGGGGCCATTACCCCGGGCTAAGTAGCACAAGCAGGAGTTTAGTCTTCCTGTGGAGTATTTTTCAAGTCTTCCTTTGGAGTATTTTTCAACTTGGCCACAGTGCGGTGGTGAGATGTTCAGATTGGATGGCGTGCGTACTTGAAGTCTAAACCCCCACTAGTGGGACTTGGCTCCGGCTTCGACTTTGTAGCTTCCAGATAGTCCCCAGCTGCTATAACACATAAGAAAACAGTCTGAGCAATGGGCTGTAGCTCAGTGGGTGGAGGACTGGTTGGAAGTGCGCGTTGTGGTATGAGGTTGCACGATCAAAACTCTGCAGCCTCGCGCATGGACACGGGCCGGCTTTGACCAACACAGGCCCATTCACACACTCTCGCTGGGTTGATTCATGGTAAGGATTACAGACACTGCCTGCACGTCACCCAAGGGGTTTAGTTCATGGTTGTAGTATACTGGTAGCAGGGCCTTGGAGGAGAGCTGTTTTAGTGGTTGGCCTTTGGGTAGTCCGAAGAGTGTGTGTGTGTGTGTGTTGGGGGGGGGGGTGTTCAATGATGTCTGGGTCATGTCTCGTGTACTCACCATGGATGGGGTAGAGGAGTTATGTTGGGGTAGAGGTGTTAGGTTTAGATTAGGTTAGGATAGGAATTTGTGTAGAGATTGTGGGCCTGTTTGTGTGCACCGCCTGGTTCGTAAGCACTGCTCTGTGGGTGTGTCATGGGTGTTTTGGGTTACCAGAGTAGTTTCCCGGCCCCATGGTACACCTGCGAGAGTCCATACCTACATTATACGATCCTGGTCCTGGTCCGGCCCCACTCTCTACACCCCCCTTGAGTAGTGGTAGGGGTTGGGTGTTAGACGTTTACGATTCCCCAAGGGCGGGCCTCATGTCTATCTTACGATGCTTGCAAGTTGGGCTTCATCCGGGCTGGTACCTGTCTACTTTCCCATTGAGGGGCGTGAATCTGGGGAAGGTTCGTTGGGTAGGGGTCTCATCTTAGGGAGGGGAGGGTGGGTTGCTGCATTGGTACTAGAAGCGTGGTTAGCCCCCCATAGAGTCTGCTAGATGTGATAGCGGTGGGTTCGACCACATATTTGTGACCCCTCCCGTGTCTGGGTCGCCCTCGAGAAGTCGGGGTGTGCCTGCGCCTGAGACCCTCGGAAGGCGTGGATTGGTGTAGGTCTAGGTCTAGAGACAGGTCTGGGTTGCGGACGGCGTGGGTTGGTGTAGGTCTAGGTCTAGAGACAGGTATGGGTCGCACCGCTGTAGGGCTCCACTTGCGATCTAATTAGGACAACAAAAAGTTCAGGAATGATGCCCCCTGGAGGAAGACTGTACTTGGGGCTGTCACAAGCCATCTGATCTCCTCACTGGTTGAGTACCATAGAGTCTGCTAGATGTGATAAAGGTAGGGGTTTGACCACATATTTGTGGCCCCTCCTGTGTCTGGGTCGTCCTCGAGAATTCGGGGTGTCCCTACGTCTGAGACCCTCGGAAGGCGTGGATTGGTGTAGTCTAGGTCTAGAGACAGGTCTGGGCTGCGGAAGGCATGGGTTGGTGTAGGTCTAGGGCTAGAGACAGGTATGGGTCGCACCGCTGTAGGGATCGACTTGCGATCTAATTAGGACAACAAAAAGTTCAGGAATGATGCCTCCTGGAGAAAGACTGTCCTTGGGGCTGTCACAAGCCATCTGATCTCCCCACTGGTTGAGTACCATAGAGTCTGCTAGATGTGATAGTGGTAGGTTTGACCACATATTTTGTGACCCGTCCTGTGTCTGGGTCGTCCTTGAGAATTCGGGGTGTCCCTACGTCTGAGACCCTCGGAAGGCGTGGATTGGTGAAGGTCTAGGTCTGGAGACAGGTCTGGGTTGCGGAAGGCGTGGGTTGGTGTAGGTCTAGGTCTAGAGACAGGTCTGGGTCGCACCGCTGTAGGGCTCAACTTGCGATCTAATTAGGACAACAAAAAGTTCAGGAATGATGCCCCCTTTAGGAAGACTGTCCTTGGGGCTGTCACAAGCCATGTGATCTCCCCACTGGTTGAGTACAGCGACAGGCACCTCCGGAGGCCTAGCAGATAACCTCTACTGTGATCTGGACTCTTATGACCAAAAAAAAACGCAGAAAACAGTCCGAGCAGGGAACTGCTGCTACAGCACAGATGGCTTTTTATCATTTTATTATTATTTAGAAGGCAGGGCAGGGTTGATTACCCTTGTAGCACCTGGATGCTGTCTAAGAAAGGCTAATGGCACTCATAGCCATGGAGACCAGCAGAGGCCTCCCGGGGCATGATCCCCGCATCCCCGGGCATGATCCCACTATCTGCTGGATAGGATTCATTAGAATCAGTACTGGTATGGCTGGATGTGGTCGCAAATGCTAATACTACTTTGGAAGCACGATTCCAATACGACCAAGATTTGATATCGCCAAAAGAATCTGTTGTGGAAATTGTAGTGTTCACTTAAAGTTGATTGAATATATGGAATACCGTGTTTTGTTTGCATGGCATTTTTTATGTTATTTGACTTTGCAAATATGATAAGATCCCTAGGCATCATCCCATTATCTACTGGATAGGATCTACTGGAAAAAAAGGGGTCCGAAAGCTTGATCATTGCCAGTTTGGGGGTCTCAAAGCCTAATTGCTATGATTGTGGGATCCTAAAAGGCAGGTCACTTGGGGGTTGAAAACCCCGATCGTTGGCACTTTTGG